CGAACTCAGAGATCCACCTGCCTCTGCCTCCGAGTGCTGGGATTAAAGGTGTGTGCTGCCACCTCCTGGCTGTTGTTCATCCCTTACTATACCTAGTTTCTAAATGCTTTATCACAGGTATAGGAAAGCAGTATGTGTATAGTTTACATACAAATGGTTCATATGTATGGGTCACTATAATTTAAGGCATCTGCTGTGTTCTTGGGACCTCTTCCCTGCAGAGGAGGGAATGACTGTCTGCCCAGGATGGTTGCAGATAAGCGTGGCTAGTTACCTGGGCTGGGTTTCTCTGGATCTTCTTTCTGGCTTCTGGGGTCCAGCCTCACCTCCAACTGCCACCCCTTCGCTCCAACCCCACAGGTGGCTGGTCTTCTGCCCATGCTCCAAGATGCATCCCATCGTCCCTTCACTATGCTGTGGCCCACAGATGCCGCCCTGCGAGCCCTGCCTCCTGAACGGCAGAACTGGCTCTACCATGAGGACCACCGTGACAAACTGGCAGCCATTCTTCGGGGCCACGTGATTCGCAACATTGAGGTGGGTACAGACCCAATCTTCGGCCCCTGTTGCCTGCATGCCCAGCTCCAACCATGTCTCCATTTATTTAGGCCTTGGCATCTGACCTACCTAACCTGGGCCAACTCCGAACCATGCACGGAAACACCATCTCTTTCTCCTGCAGCCGTGCCCGGCCTGTGAGTCTGGGGAGAGGGCTTGGTTGAGGAAAACAGGTACAGGCCAGTGAGGGGCCGCAGCACCCATGACCCCAACATCTTCCCCTTTAGGGTGAGCTCATGGTAGGTGAAGATAACACCCACATTGTGCAACGGCACTTACCCTTTGAAGGTGGCCTGGCGTATGGCATTGACCAGCTGCTGGAGCCGCCCGGCCTTGGTGCCCGCTGTGATCGTTTTGAGACCCAGACACTTCAAATGGTGAGGAAGGCCACAGGCCACAGGTGCATGGCAGGGGTCCAGCCCACCTGTCCTGTCCTGTCCATCCACCTGACCCCACAGTGTTGGCCTCCATCCCCTCCAGAAGACTTGCAGCGTCTGTGGGCTGGAACCACCCTGTCCTCAGCGCTCACAGGAGCAGGTAAGGGGCTGGAGGCTGAGTTGAGGGTTGGGGTGAGGCAGAGAGCATCATCAAGCTCAGGCTGGCCTGTGGCCTGACTCCCTTTGACCCAGGGCAGCCCCAAGATCTGCTGGCGTGATTACACCAAGTTCTGGACATCCCCGCTGCACGCCGCCACGGTGCGCAGTGGCGCCTGGCTACGGCCTGGATTTTGGAACCACCCCCAACGCCTGGGTCGGGGCTGCCACCGCAACTGTGTCACTGTCACCTGGAAGCCCAGCTGCTGCCTGGTCACTACGGCATTGACTGCCAAGGTAAGCATTCTGGGGGTTACAGACAAGCTGACCGCCTCCTCCAGCCCCCAAGCTGGCCCAAGACAAAGCTCTGGCCGTTGCCCTTAAGAAAGGATTTTGGGGGCTGGGGATTTAGCTCAGTGGTAGAGCACTTGCCTAGCAAGCGCAAGGCCCTGGGTTTGAGCCTCAGATCAAAAAAAAAAAAAAAAAAAAAAAAGAAAGAAAATAGTTTGTCAGGCGGTGGTGGCACACGCCTTTAATCCAGCACTTGGGCGGCAGAGGCAGGTGGATCTCTGCGAGTCCGAGGCCAGCCTGGTCTACAAAGCGAGTTCCAGGAAAGGCGCAAAGCTACACAGAGAAACCCTGTCTAAAAAAAAAAAAAAAAAAAAAAGAAGTGGTATACAGAAGCTTCATAATCTGGTGTGGAGTTCTGGAGGGTCTGGGTGTTCTCTGGGTTTCAGAGTGGTGGGTCTCAGCGGTGTGAGGCCGTGACTGAACTGACGCTCCTTGAAGAGCCTTGGCTGGCACTCATTAGGGGAACAGAGGGCAGAGCCTGGGATGAGGGGGTGTGGGTTTGACCACGAGAGCCTCTGGTCCCGTTACACTTCTACACTATTCCCTAGCTTGTCCCGGTGGCCCCAAAAGCCCCTGCAGTGACCACGGTGTATGCCAGGATGGTATGAGTGGAAGTGGACAGTGTAGCTGCCGTTCGGGTTTTGCTGGGACAGCCTGTGAACTCTGTGCCCCAGGTGCCTTTGGACCCCAGTGCCAAGGTGGGTCATCTCTGCCCTGTCCCATTCTATCTTGCCCTACTTCCTTTGTCCCGTGTGTCAACTTGCCCCTCTCCCCAGCTTGCCGCTGTACCCCACATGGACGTTGTGATGAAGGCCTTGGGGGCTCTGGCTCCTGCTTCTGCGACGAAGGCTGGACTGGGCCACGCTGTGAAGTACAGCTGGGTGAGTAGCGCTTCCGCTTGGACCCCTGCGGCACATGTACGCACACCGGGACATGCCCTAGCTGCACACTCGGGTGGAGGCCCCTAAGGTGGGTGGGAGAGGCAGTGGCTAGGAGGACAGCTACTGACCTGGTCATATGGGCTGGGTCCTGGGGACAGAGTTGCGGCCTGTGTGTACCCCACCCTGTGCAACCCAGGCCATGTGCCGTGTGGGCAACAGCTGTGAGTGCAATCTGGGCTATGAAGGGGATGGCCGTGTGTGCACAGGTAAGCAGAAGGCCGGGATTTGCAGGTAGGAAGCCCTGGACCCACTCTAGACATCTGGCTCAACCATTCTTTCCTCGCCCCCAGCGGCAGATCTGTGCCAGAAGGGGCACGGTGGCTGTAGTGAGCATGCCAACTGCAGCCAGGTGGGGACAGTGGTCAACTGTACCTGTCTGCCCGACTATGAGGGTGATGGTTGGAGCTGCCGAGCTCGCAACCCCTGCCTGGATGGCCACCGTGGAGGCTGCAGTGAGCATGCTGACTGCCTCAACACTGGCCCGGTAAGCAGGTCCCCGGGGAGTCGAGCAGTCTGGGTGCGGAGGCCCCACAGGCCCACTCTTCCAGTCTTCATGAGAGATCCACTGCTCTCTCTGCCCGCAGAACACACGGCGATGCGAATGCCACGTAGGCTACGTGGGTGACGGACTGCAATGTCTGGCGGAGCTTGAACCGCCTGTGGACCGGTGCATGGGCGAGGCATCACCCTGCCACCCAGATGCTTTGTGCACTGACCTGCATTTCCAGGGTGTGCTTCCTTACCGACCCCACAACCCACTGCACTATCCCTGGTCACTGTCCTATTGACTATCTATCCTCCCTTCTTCCTGCAGAAAAACGAGCTGGTGTCTTCCACATCCAGGCCACCAGTGGCCCTTATGGCTTGACCTTCTCAGAGGCCAAGGAAGCATGTGAGGAACAGGGCGCGGTCCTTGCTTCACTCCCTCAACTCTCTGCTGCCCAGCAGGTGCCCAGGGCTCGGGTGGGAGCTAAGCCTATGGAAGCCCATTGAGTTGGGCTTTGGTCTCAGCATCCCCTCCTGCCCCCACAGCTGGGCTTTCACATCTGCTTCGTGGGCTGGTTGGCCAATGGCTCTGCTGCCCACCCTGTCGTCTTCCCAGCGGCAGACTGTGGCAATAACCGTGTAGGGGTGATTAGCCACGGTGTCCGCAAGAACCTTTCGGAGCGCTGGGATGCCTACTGTTACCGCGTGCAAGGTACGTCCACTCCACTGACCTCTGCCCACTCCCACCCCCCGGTCTCCTCCCCAGGCAGCCTAAGCTTCTGACCTGCCTTTCCCTGCAGACGTGGCTTGCCAGTGTCGGGTTGGCTTCGTGGGTGACGGGATCAGTACATGCAACGGGAAGCTGCTCGATGTCCTGGCTGCCACTGCCAACTTCTCCACCTTCTATGGGGTGTGCAGGGGTCTAGCCTCGGAAGTGGGAATGTAGGCTGTTGGGATCCCCAAGGAGGGAGCTTGCCCACAACCCCGTCTCCTCACCCCCCCAGCTGCTGCTGGGCTATGCCAACGCCACCCAGCGAGGTCTGGATTTCCTGGACTTCTTGAACAACGAGCTCTCCTACAAGACACTCTTTGTTCCTGTCAACGAAGGCTTTGTGGACAATATGGTAACAGCAGGGGCTTGGGTACAGTTGGCTCTCTCCGGGGGGCCCAACCCAACGGATCTTACTCTGCTCCTAGACACTGAGTGGCCTGGACCTAGAGCTCCACGCTTCCAATGCCACCTTTCTGAGTGCCAATGCCAGCCAGGGGACATTGCTTCCTGCCCACTCAGGACTTAGCCTCTTCGTGAGAGATGTAGGCTCTGACAACAGTTCGATGGCCCCTCTGGTGAGTCTGGCCTTACTGACACCCTCCTGGCTCAGCCCTTGCTTAGCTGCCGGACCTGACTAGTTTCTCTGCAGGCCCCTGGGGCAGTTGTGGTTAGCCACATCATCGTCTGGGATATCTTGGCTTTCAATGGCATCATCCACGCTCTGGCCAGCCCCCTGCTCACGCCTCCCCAGTCTGTGAGTCTGCGGAAGTGGGAGACAGAGCCTCAGGGTGAGGGGATATCTCTGGCCTGGTCCTTGACACCCTCTTTGTGCTTTACAGAGGCCAGTGCTGGGACCCAAGCCTCAACCTGTAGCACTAAGCATGGGGGTTGTGGTGGCCTCTGGAACACTGCTGGGATTGGTAGCTGGAGCCCTCTACCTGCGTGCCCGAGGCAGGCCCACAGGCTTTGGCTTCTCTGCCTTCCAGGTGATGAGGGGCTGGGGGTATGTGGGGACAGGCTCCTTCTGTCTTGTTTGGGGGCCTTACCAGTCAACTCCTCTTCCAGGCAGAAGATAATGCCGATGATGACTTCTCCCCATGGCAAGAAGGGACCAGCCCAACCCTGGTTTCTGTCCCCAACCCTGTCTTTGGCAGCAGTGATGTCTTTTGTGAGCCCTTTGATGTGAGTATGGGGTGGGAAGTGTGGCTGGAGGGGTGGCGGGGGCAGGCCCCGGGCTTAGCCTTGCTTGGCTGCACCCTGCCTCCCTCTGCAGGATTCACTGCTGGAGGAGGACTTCCCCGACACCCAGAGGATCCTCAAGGTCAAATGATGGTCCTTGAACGGAGGCAGAGGCACACGGAAAGACAGAGACCACTTTTACTGCTTGTCAGGGTGGCTGGGGCTGAAAGAACGGATGGTCTGTCCAGGACAATAAAAGCGCCCTCAGCGGATGTGGGCCATGTCACCGAGAAAAGGTGTCTTCATGCAGCCCGTGCAGAGCTGGTCCATCCAGAGGGGCGCCTCGTGCTGCAGGGGTGTGCGACGCGGGTAAAAAGTGAAGTCCACGCGGTAGTTGAGCAGACAGCTGAGGGAGGCCATGTAGAGGTCGGAGAAGCGCACGAGGCGCCTGGAGAAGTAGGTCGGGTTGTGGAAGGTGCGGAAGATGCTCCCAAACTGAGCATTGAACAGGGCCTTGGTGATGCATCTGGGGAGAGAAACATGGTACCCTTCAGTGTGAGGAGGAAAGGCCGGGGCAGCCCCCCTGTCGTGGCTCCTCTGGCTCACCTCAGTTCTTGCCGCTCCTTCATCCAAGTAGCCAGCACCTGCCGTGACTCTGCATCCTGATAAGTCTGGGGAAACACAATGTGGGAAGGTGGGTGAGCATGCACCTGGGAGATGCAGCCCCCTAGGCCCTTCCCGTCGCCCCTCCCTGCATTAGCCCCTACCTGCATGCGTTCTAGCAGCCCAGTGAGCGCCTGCTGCCAGGTCAATGAGTGCATGTACTGCTCTGTGTTGATGATGCGGATCTCACGCTCCAGCTCAGGGATAATGGCCCCGGTGCGCCAGCCATGCCGCAGCATGAGGTCCTAGTGGAAGGGATGGGAGGCAGACCTCAGCACCGGCTGGGAGGGCTCCCTCTTCTCCCCTCCCCTCCCCGGGGAAAAGCCCCACCCTCTCACCGCCAGGTCACTGTAGAGGTGGTCACCAAAGTAGAGCACACGTGGCCCTCGCCACTCTGTCAGACGAAGGAAGTCAAACAGGTTTCCCTGGGGAGCAGAGGGCACTGCTGAGCCAACGGTGCTCCCGCTTGGCTGTGGGAGCCAGGCTTTGTCCTTCACCAGTCCTCCCAACTCTGCAGAGGCAGCCAAAGCCAGCCGGATGCTGGGCTGCCCTTTCCCGTGGCCTCCTGCTCCGTGGCCCTTACTACTTCCCCCTTCCACTATTAAAGGGGGGGTCCTGCCTGCAGCAGAACATCTCTAGTAGGGGTGGATTGGCCCTCACTCAAGGGCCTCTTACAGTGGCCTTTCACCCACCCAGCCGAGGGCGTTAATCCCTGTTTGTGAGAAACCAACCACAGGGAGGGCCCCAGGCCCTCCAGCCAAGGGCCCTGAACTTCCTCAGTCTCCACCCACAGGACCCTGTGGATCAACTGTAGAGCTTCTTGGCAGGCTACAAGCTTCTCTGCTCCAAAGCCAGGGAAAGATAACACCGCAGCGCGGGCATAACCGAGGGAGGGGTGGGGGTGGGGCAGAGGGGCCAGAGTTTGGAAGGACAGGGACTACCTAAGGTAGCAAAGCACAGTTCATAGAGCTGCTGGCCTCAGTGAGTCTCAGAGAGATGGGAACTGGGGGTGGCAGGGAGCTGTGAAAGAACTGAACCGAGACAGAAGGTGGGGTGGGGGGGCATTCCAAGGACAGTGGAGGATGTGCCCCCTCATCAAGAATCTTGAGGGGCAGAGGAAGGAGAGGGGAGTGGGTAAGAAAAGGACTCGGGAGAGGCTCCTGAGAACCATACAGGGTCTAAACAATGTTAGGCCAAGAAAGAAAGTCACCTCCCCCAAAAAGGGCCGCCACAGTCTGATGGCAGGACAGAGTGCTGAGGACTGGAGATCTGCGTGCGTGTGGCAGGGCAGGATGCTGAACAGGGGCCTGCCAGCTGAGCTGAGGCATCTGGATGCTGCTTTCCTGGCCAAGTGTGGGCTCCCCAGATCCAGGACCATCTCAGCTAAGATTCCAGCATGGGCCACCAATGCCCTGCATCTAGCCTCTCTTCCTAGTCATCACACAGGAAACGGGGATGTGTGTATGTGTGTGTATGTGTGTGTGCTCAATTCATAAGCTGTCTCCACAGGCCCACCTCAGGGCTTCAACCAGGCTGGTTTTGCCTGTATCAGTGTTCAGTGCCAATTCTTCACAGCGATCATGGTGCATTCTAAGGCTTTTGTACCATACTCAAGTGGGACATTCCAAAGGACAGCAAGGCCTAGAGGCGATGAAGCCAGGGCTCCTAGGCTATTGGAGAGATCTCGACTCCAAACCCAAGCTCTCTTCTAATGCCACCCGGGTTTGCTTCCTAATAGTCCTGCCCTGGTGCCATCCGCTCTAGCCCAACAGTGCAAGCCTGGTCAGGGCTGGGAGCTTGCCTCTGTATAGCCTAGGGCCACTCACGAAGCACTGCCCCTCCAGTCCTTACCTGCCGGTAGATCTTGCCCTTTTCCAGGCGACTAATACGGTCCCAGTGGAGGGAACCCTTCTCATCGAGCTTCCGAAAAGGCCTGCGGGAAGAGTAGAGAGCCCGGTTTGCAGTCTGTGAGAGTCACAAACTAGGGACCCTCCTCCTTATCCCTGTAAAGGCCCACCCACTCAACAGCCAGTGTCAGCAGAGACACTGACCAGTCCATCTAAGCGCAGAGAATCCTGAGTCAGGGCCAGTTGGATGTGGTGCCTGAATCTTCTTATTGGAGTGGGGCTTCCAACCTCCCCACAACCCCAGAGTCCCTGCTACGTCCATACTTGCGCCGGTCGGTGAAAAAGTTGGGCTTGTCTGCCTGGACGATGACCACATCGAAGAGCTGGCGCCAATCAGGGCCGACCATGTGCCGCATGCCTTTGTCCCTGTGCAGAGGGGGCACTGGCTTCAGGGGGTCTGGGAGCAGTACTCTGTCCCATCCCCACCCTCACCCCCCCCCCCCCCCACATTCTTCTACAGTGGGCCTGGACTCACACAAAGCTAAAAGGACTGTTGGTGATGAGGAACAGCTGTTTCCCATGGGACACCAGGCGGCTCAGGACTGCAAACGTTTCATCCCCTCTCAGGATGTACTTCTCTGAAAGGGAAGGTGGTGGGTCTGCAAGGGCCAGTTCTGGGACCCTCTGCTCAGGCAGGCACGGTAAGGGTTACTGTCTGCCCTTACCCATGTCTTGCTCAATCCACTGGTACATGAGGCCCTTCACATGCACATCCCGGATGGCATCCTGAGGGGAACCAGGGGACAGTGAGGACATGCCAGGGAAGAGGGCCCACCAAGTTGCAAACAGACTTCGTTTCATCTAAGGGACAAGCCCCTCCTCCTCACCGTCACATCCTTGTAGAGGTGAACTTGGTCAAACTCCAGGCCGTGGCCCAGAAAGTAGTCCACCACACATGACAGCAGCGCCATCTCTGGTAGTGAGAAGATGTCCATGAACTGCTTGATGGAAGGGCCCTGGGGAGGGAGGTCAACTCTCAGCCACTATTCCATGTACTAGAGACCAAGGGATCTGCCTTGGGGCACTGGCAGGCTGTGTGACCTTTTGGTTACTGCTTCACAGGATGCCAGCACCCACATCAAAATCCCTGGTCTGGGTTGCTTTGGGCAACAACAGGTTGGGTGGGTACCTTGCCATAGAAGCCGCTCATCTGGTAGAGTGGGATGTGCTGGGTGCCACCGTATAGGTCAATCACTTCATCATCTGGCACAGGCTGGAGACCCCTGAGTTGGGGGTGAGTGGGGGGACAGATGCCCTCAGCCCGAGCCCAGGTAGCAGTATGGGATAGGGACAAGGGTAGATTTAGGGTGGACCCGACGCTAACCTGTAGGCCGTTCCCAGCTGTACATAATGAAAAGCATCAATTTTCATCAGAAGGCTCTGCAAACACATAGTGGGCAGGGCCAGTGGTGAGGACGTCGGTTTTTGTCCTCGGCCCTGAGCCAGATTCTCCCCAGCACCTCCCAACCCTCAGCAACAAAACCTCTACCGGACGCTAAGGGGCCAGGGTGGTCTGATAAGGAGAGGAGGGGGCTGAAGAAGCCGCTCCCACTAGTCAGGAGGGCTACGTGTCTAGCCACTCACCTTCTGAATGTCATAGTGGAGGCCACGGATGGCAAAGCTGGGATCATAGTCATACTTCCGAATGCCCTCAGGGTACTGTTGGACAAAAAGCCAGGCCTCAGCCCAGGATACCGGGGGAACCCCAAGACTCAGTCTGGAGTGGGGGGCAAGCTGGGTCGCGTTGGCAGAGAGCCTGGCAGCCTCACCTTGTAGTGCTCTATCAGGATGTCCCGGGCAGCATTGAAGATCTCGGGGTGCAGGGCATCCGCGTACTGGGCCAGTGTGTAGTCGTAGTCAAAGCCATAGACCTCAACGTCACTCAAGCTGATCTCGTTGTTGGCGTAGATGGCTGCTGGGTTTAGGAGGCTGCAGACCTCAGGGGGCAGAAGGTCTGCAGGGAAGGAGATACACAAGAGGACAGTACCTCATGATGGTCACAGTTGCAGCAAATGGCCCAAGTACTTTGTGGGTACCCAGCCCCATGTGCCCCACAAGACACTGGATTATTGCATCTCAGCTCAGTGAAGGCCAAACTGAGGCTCAGAGAGAAGGCACGTGCCAAGGGAGGGCAGAGCTGACAATGGCCGGCCTGCTCTTCTCTGGGGAATCTGGTCATAGTCACAGCCTCCATTTTCCACGTTAAACTATCATCTGCAGTGCCCCACATATACTGAACCCGTGTCTCTTCTGGGCTCTGCCTACTAAGTTCTACCAGACACGGGTGTGTGGGAACCCTGGCGACACTCCTCAGAAAGGTCATGCCCCTCACTCAAAACCTGTCCAGGAGCACCACTGTCCACTGGCCTCGTCTTCCACTTTCTTGGGGCTACCTGCCAAGGGCAGGATGCAGGGACTGTAGACTCCTCCCACGGGATGCTGGCTCCGTTCTGACCTGACTGGAAACCAAGGCCATGAATGCTGCTTTTCCACTTTGTCCACAGATGGGGTTGGGGCCCAAGAACATTAGAGGGGCGGAGAACCCCCAGGGCTGCCAACTTGGAACACCTGCCATCGCCCTGGGGAGTAAGGCCCCTCTAATCGGATTTCAACTGCCTGCCAGACCACATAATGACATTCCCTGGCCTTAGTCAGGGAACACTGCTAATTACCACGGGCGAGATATAAGATGTCGGGTTTTGGGACACTACCCAGCTTGCTCTCTTCTGGTGACAGTCACAAGCCTCTGAAAGAGTCACAGAGGAAGGCTAAGCGTGGCACTATGTCAGGACGGTTCTGGGGTCCTAGGCTCACCTGCCTTATCTTCCCCATCTGGAAAGCGGGTAAGGTGAATGGAAAAAAAGGACACGATGTGACAGGGCATGGGATGTGAGCCAGACAAGATCAGGCCTTCCCTCTCATGCCGGTGAATTCCAGAATGCTGGCTTAGCCCCTGGGCTCGTGTTTTTTAAAGGGGAAATAAAACCAGAACCAGTCTACTTCGTACAGCATTCCTGCTCTGTCCCCACACAATATGCAGGATCAAATGTGTGATGTGCCTGAGCTGGGAGCCCTGTCCTGGGTCTCGCTTGGTCAATCCTGGAGTTGCAGGGGAAGGGAAGAGGCAGGACTAGGCATGCTGGGCAGAGTCCAGATCTCCAGGGAGTCTGTCAGCCACACCAATCCTGATCATGATGCAAAAATCTCTGGCTCCACAGCATGTCTAATGGCTCTTGTGCTGTGCAGACGCCTGGTCTACGTGCTGAGCTGTTGCCTCAGAGGCCCCTTTGGAACACAGGGCTCCGCCCCCATTTCCTTTAGTGTCATATGCAGGGTGTAGGTGTGGGAACAGGTGTGGCTAGTTCCTCGGGTGGCCTACAGCCAGCAGAGGGCAGCTGTTCTGAAGATCCCCAAGTGTGGACGGAGCTCTTCACTGGGACATGCTTAAGACACAGCTGATGGCCTCCCTCTGAAGAACTGCTTCTGAGACACCCCTTACCTGGTGTTGCTAGGACCCTGGGCCTCAGCTGCCCACATAGCTGGTAATTTCCACAACCCTACACTCCTGGATGTCAACTTTGTTTATGACTTGCCTTAGCGTCCAGAAAACCCCTGGGGTGGGAAGCACAGGCATGGCATTTGTGGACCCAAGCTTGTGGAGTTCTGATTACGTCCATGCCTTGCCTCTGCTTTCCAGGGTCTTCTCGGGGGCATATACACCTTCCTGGGAACAAGTAGGACGGGGAAGCAGTCCACAGGGCCTAAGGTTACCTACCTCATTTCTGGACCAAGGAAATCATAGCTCTGGGGGGTTGGGGTAACCGAGTCCCACTTCCTTCCACTGGTGATTGCTGAGTAGGCCGGGAGAGGATATGCCACGACCCAGCAGTGGTCCGACGTGTTTATATGACTGTCTAGACCCTGTCCTCCTTTCTTAGGTGAGTTTTACGGCTCATCTCATTCCCTCCTCCAATCTTGTGAAGTAGTCACACTTCTGTCTCCACTGGGGAGGTAAAGTCACCCATCAAACTACCCAGCACCAGGCAACTAGGTTGAGACGCACACTCGGGTCGCCCCACCTGCTTTAACTACCCTTCTCTTCCTAGCCTTCTAGTCATGAGGCCAGGCAGCGCAGGTGATGGTCCTCCACTACTCTCTGAAGGGCCATTGGCCCTGGCCTTGGCAGCTTTGCTCAGATTCCTTCAGAAAACCCAGCCTGGTGAGGTCAGGGTTCAGAGGCATGAGCTGGCTCATCCTGGCATGTTAGTGGAAGTGACCCCCCACAAGAACTCAGGGGGTCTATAAGGATCTGAAGACACAGGAAGACCCCGAAGGGTATGAAAGTAGCCCCCCCCCAGTCCCCTCAGGCTTCTCAGCTACTCAGAGGGACTTCTGTCACACTGCTCACCCTGCAATAGTCCCAATCCTCAAGAGCAACCATTCTCCAGAGGTCTCAAGTATTCTGACTGCGGCTTGTCAAGAGGTGATCTCTGGCCAACCTCCAGGTCTCCACACAGCTGGAGTGGAAACCTCTGCCCAGTCACAGCTGGAATCTCCCTGACAGAGCCACTCTGTCTTACCAAACAATGCAAGTCACATCACCTCTGGGGCTTCCTCCAGAAGCTCCCCTCCTCCTGTTTGGCCTTGTTCTGAGTCATCACCACAATCCTGGGGCAGGAGACTCAGGACACTGAGGGTCTTGAGAGGGTGTGAGGAGGCCGAGGGCCACCCTGCTGGGCAGCGATAGGGGCCACAGCCCAGACCACATCTCTCTGCTGCAGAGACAGGGCCCCACTAGACCCACCCAGACAAATGGACAGATGTTCCGCACTCAGATCTCCTGCCTCATCAGCCCATTCCAGAGGGAAAGAAGGCTAGGGGGAGGGGGAGTGCCCTGTGCAGCTCTGGCTGAGACTACAGCAACATCCCGGGATTGCAGGGGGCTACAGTAACTTTTCTGTTCCCCCAACGCCTTCCCTGAGCTTGTTTGGAGTGCTGTAGACCGCCAGAGGCAAGCCAAGAGGTAGGTGCCTGCAATGTCCGGCCGGTGTCGCCTTACAGCGGGCCGTCGGTGAGCACCGTTCAGTCTTTGTCCACACACTGTAACTAAAGGCCAGCGGAGAACAAGGGACTGAGATTTCCACCGCCGCTGCCCAGAGACTGGACCCAGGACCGCGTGCGCAGCAGCCGCTCCAGGCGTTCCAAGCTCCCGCCTCCAGAAAACAAAACCTCCACTCGCCCCGGGAGTCGGAGTGCTCTGCAGTGGCACCTCGTATCCACCCGATAGAGCCTTTTCCAAAACGCCATCTGACCCTCAGGTTTGGGGACCCTGGCGAGCCCCACCGGGCGCTTCCAGCAAGCTGCACCCAGGACGGTTGGGGACGGTGCCCCCGCCGTCTGCTGGACGCCGCCAAGCTGATGCCCTCCGGCGCACTGCCCACCCGGCGTCACCCACCGTGCACCAGCCTCCGCATGTCCTGGTAACGAGCCCACAAGTGCGCGCTGAGGTCCGCGTTGTCTGCGGGCGCCGAGCGCGGGGTGCTGGGGCAGTGGGCTCCGGGACCCGGCGGGCCGCAGCCAGGGCAGGAGGGTGAGGTCGAGGCAGCCCGCGGCCCGCCGTGGCCTCCGCACAGCAGCCAGCGCCGAGCTGCCGCCCGCAGTCCCGCACCCGCCATGCCCCCTGAGCGCTGCCCCCGCCGCCCTCCGCCCGTCTGCTTGCCCGCCGGCCCGCCGCCCTCCGACTCCCCGCCACCGTGGCCGCGTGCTTCTCAAGGCGGCCGACCAATGGGCGAGGCGCGCGGAGTCCATCCGGCCAATGAGCGCAGCACTCGGCCCGGGGGGGCGGGAGGTCCCGGGACGGGGCGGGGCGGGGCGGGCTCCCGACCCCCTCCTCCTCTTCGTTCCCAGCTCAGCTCAGGGGCTCTGCGCCCCCCTTTGGTCATCTCGGTGGTGATGGCGGCACCATCTTCCCTTGCGCGGGAAGTCGCGGGGCTTAAGAGCCCGTGTCTCCGAGAGGCCCTGGACGGCTCCGAGGAGCAGGAGCAGCTGGAGTGCGGGAGAGCACAGCTCCTCCTTCATCCCATGGTCTTTCTGTCCCTCCCCCAGCCTTGGGTTCCCCCTGACCCTAGCGCTGCCGTCCCCTCCTCTCCAGACATGTCCTCCTGCCCCGGGGGCCCTGTGCTCCTGCCCTGTTTCTGACTGACTGCACGTCGAACTGCACGCCTGAGTGGAGCTAGGGCCGCTTTATCCACCTAACGCACAAAGAGCTCCTTCTGCCCACAGTGACAGTCCCAAACTGGGTGAGACCACGCAGCCTGCAGGGCAGCTGACGTCTGCTAAGGCAGCCTTTTCTTGGTACCGCCTGGTACCCCACACGGGTGCTCTGAGTGGCTGTGGGCCGGGGTCATTGCAGCCCCCTGGTTCTGGTAAACGGATGTGCCGGACAGCGCAGGCCCCCAATCGAAATACCTCGGTCTCTGTTCAAGCGCTGTCTCAGGGCAATTCTTCTTCGCTTGGAACCACACCACCTACTTCCGTCTGTTTTCTTAGCCCGCAGGTGTACGCCAGGAGAGGCCGGTCCAGGACCCAGGGCCCTGTTGGTGATGAGCTGCCCACCTAGGCACCCGGTGGCTGTTGGGTTTAAGGTGGTGTGTAATGTGGAACTCTCCTGTACCTAGGCTGAGGATCTGGTGTGGAATCTTGGGCTGGGTCCTGGTCGTTATGGATGCCAAAGCGTGGGCCCATGGGCTGTGGAGACCTGGCCACATGTGAATCTCTTCCAGGTGGACGGACGCTGTATATGTTCTGGTCCTCAGCACCAAGAGAAATGGGAACAAATGCCAAGGGTTTGCTGTGGGTGGCTTCTTTTGGCCTGCCCTCCAGGGCTGCTTTGGTGTACAGGACGTGTTAAAGCTGCTCTCAATCTGTGTATGACCCTTTATGGATCCCACAGTCTGACATTTAATTCTCACAGAAGGCTCCGTTTTTACAAGGGTGCCTGTAGGGGTGTGGTTTGACCACAAAGTCACGCTTTTTACCATGGTGCTCTTCTGCGACTACCGGGTTGTGATGCATAAAAAAGCACCTACAAGAACCTGAATAGCGGTGTTTTCCCATCCATCATACATTTATATTATTTTTAGAGCAGTTTGTCGTGGACAATTATACTTCTTGTTGTGATACTGATAAAGTTCAGTTTTCAAAAATGCACGTCGAATTTTGTTATTTTAGAAGCCAAGTCCAACCAGTCACATCCTAGAAATAAAACGAAGGCGTCACGTAACTGCATTTTAGATCCTCTTCTTCACAGAGGGTCGTCACCTCGGTCAGAGTATCACAGAAAAAGATGGCGATGGCAGAGTAGGGGGCGCGGCAGTCAACTCCGAGCCCCAGCTGCTGGGAGCAGGTTGAGGGTGGGCCCGGCCACGCCACGTTGGAGACTCCGCCCCCTGAGGTTGCTCCGCCTCCAGGGTCTAGGCGCCTGCGCAGGCTTCTTCAGGCCGGCTCAGCCTCACGGAGCACGCGTGCCCCAACAGCACTCTGATTGGACAGTCTGAGCGGCCCGCCGCACTCTGATTGGCGGATCCGGCCACGCTCTGGGTCTGTTCGCTTCTGCGCGCCACCTCTCCCGGCCTGGCAGTGGCGCAGCAGCGGGGTCTTGAGTCTCAGTCCGCGACACAGCGGGGCCAGCAGGGCTGTTCCTACTGCCTCCAGGATTAATAGTCCGCCTGGTTCCGCCCGCACCCCACTTCGAGGCCTCGGCCATGTTCTTCAGGGCCCAGGTGAGGCGAGCTCTGCAGCGGGTGCCCGGGAAGCAGCGATTCGGCATCTACAGGTTCCTGCCCTTCTTTTTTGTCCTGGGAGGAACAATGGAGTGGATCATGATTAAAGTGCGCGTGGGCCAGGAGACCTTCTGTAAGTGGGGGTGCAGCAGCCTCCGTTTCTCCTGTGGGTATGCGATTAGAGGCCGCCGACTCCACTCGGTTGCAGAGCGGCTTTCACTGTAGTCCGAAGGACAAGCGGTCTTACTCACTTGGCAGCACGGATTGGAGGCCCCCGGGGCTTTCGTATTTGGCTCACATTGGCATCCAGCCCTCCTTCTCCCCCGGCACTTTAAGAGGGCACGTGCCTCCACTCAGGCTCTCGTCCTTTGTAACCTGTCCTTGGCCCTGCCGGGTGACCTTAGGACTGAGGAACAGGATTGCGGAAGAGGGACCAATCCTGAGGACTCAGAAATTCCGGTTAAGTCTCCTGCCCTTTGAGATCTTTAGCTCAAACTCTTTAGAACGCTAGCTTGCCTGACTTAGCTGATTACCACATTTTACAGGCAGTCATTAGTGCTGTGTCTTTGGCCCTGAACTGCGAACATGTCTGGCATTTCTGTGGACTGCCTCGGGCATGTTGAGTTCCTCAGGGCTTCTCCCAACCTCTGGGCCCTTTGCTTTACCTCTCATGTAACTTTATCACGTGAGAACTGCCAACTCAAAATTTTTAAGTTGTTACATCAAAGCCTCCATTGATTTCTCTGTCTACTCTGATAAAGGGCCTGTGCTGGCCCTGACTCTTCAAACTTTCAGCCATCCTCTTGCCTCAGCCAACTGCTGGGATTACAGGCACGGGCCAAAACTCAATATTGAATGACCATCCATGAGAGGGTCTAGTGAGCAAGGCAGGAGATCCTCCATTTCAGAAGAGCTCGTGGGACTAAAACTAGGTGTAGAGTTCTTGACTCGCATAGGCCCGGGCTCAATTTTCACCCCGTCCCCCACCATTAAGCAAGCCATGAGGGGTGTGAGTAGTTCAAGAATCCTGGTTGGCACCTCACTGGATCAGAGGGAAAGCTCTTGGCAAAAGATAGGCATTTAGGACTGTCAGGAAATAAGGGGAAGATCTATGACACTGACTTCATGGCAGTGGGAAGGGAAACCTGGAAGCTTTTGTGCTTGCTGTTTGAAGGACTGCAGTAGATTGAGTGAAAGGTGACATGGATAGAGGGGTACCTGGGTAGGGCCAGAAAAGAACTGGACAATAAGGATATATCTTAATGATTGAAAGAGCTCTTTGCTCTTTTTGGAGAGATTGGTAGAAACAAAGGGAATATATGTTGGCCAGATTTGAGACGATAGTCTAAGTCTAAGGGGCAAAGGAATGCCAAGAAGTGGGTGGAGCTCAGACAGCCTAGAGGTAGTGCTGAGTCTGGTAACTGAGATGGGGCATGGAGGCTTCTCAAGGAACACCTAAGGCAAGGCTTGTATTACTTAAGGTGCAGAACATAGGCAGGGTGATCCCGGGTGCCATTGAGGACATGATGAAATGGGGTTAACTAAAGATCTCAAGCTCAGGAAGACAGTTTGGGCCAGACATCTGGATTTGATGGAAGGGTCAGACTTCAGCATGTTTTTCTGGTGTCTTGGAGTGGTTAGAAGGAACACCGGAAAGGCAGGTGATAAGGCAAGGTGACTGTGAAGAGAGGTAAGCATCTGCCCATGGAGAGACTGAAGGATATGCAAACGCTGGTGAGAAAGGAGGAGTTGGAACTAGGGCTGTAGCTTACTTGGTACAGCACTCGTTTTGGCATGCAGGTATTTTTGAATTCAATCTTCTAAAAAAAAAGGGTCGGGGGAGTTTGGGGAGGGGACTGGGAGACTGCATCTTCAGAAGCACTAGTGCCCAGTGAGATCAGCCTTAAAAATTAGCCAAAGAGTTCTTTACAGTGAGTGGCCTTTCTCTGAGAAAGAAGGGAGTGTTCTTAGTCATTCAGGGCTGAGGAAATGGCTTTCAGCCATGTTAATGGAATCAGCTAGAGGTGCCTCAAGCAGCATGAACCGAAAAGTGAGGCAGTTGGAGCAATCTCTGGTGGGGTTTTGGAGGGCTGTCCAGAAGACAGTGAGTAGAGTGTGAAGGAACTTGAGCTGGTTTGGTAGGAAGAGAGGGAAGACACAGGCCAAAGGGGCAGCGGAAGGTGGTGGTGAGCTCCGAGGACGGGAAAGCCAGGAGTGGGATAGGGAAGCAGAAGTTGTAGTCTGAGCAGACGGAACACTGACTGGAGATGTAAAGGAGGCCAAGGGGGCTGGCACTTCACCCCCAACAATATGGGTAGTAAAAAGGCACAGATGAAGAGCAAGAAACCTGAGCTGGCAGCCAGTGTTACCAGTGATGGAGTGATAAGAGAAGATGGCAGTCAAGTAACAAGCCCTGAAGGAAGAGGATTTAAAAAAGGAAGAGGTTTATTTTTATAGGAGGATAGAACATTAGTAGCCTGAAAAACCAGCTGCTGAGAACAAAGAACATTACTTCGCTCCTTACTCAGGTTTTGGGACCTAGGAAAGGGAGCAGCAGAGAGCCTTGGGACAATGGAAATCTTGGAGAACAGAAAGATGCCAGGACATGATTCTGGGACATGAGTGTGTCTCCGAAGATACTATCTTTCTACTCTTGTTATCTCAGACTCCCCACAGCACTCATTCAGCTCATTTTATGTTAAATTACTTGCCAGATTCAGACAGTCAAGACAGACTACTGGTTGACTTACTTCCATGGGGGCTTTGTTCCTAACTCTTGCTGGAAATTGCACTCCGAGCACTCCTTATGCTAGCTAAGCACTCTGCCACAGAGAAAGACCCCCAATCTCTTTTTGAAATTCCCCAGTTTCTTAAAAATCTAAGCAGAGTTTTTGTCTGATACAGATGATGTGTACCGTCGAAAAGCTTCAGAAAGACAGTATCAGAGAAGGCTGGAAGATACATCAGAGACCGAGCTTCACAAGTTAATAAAGTAAATGTGAATTTTCAGTGTTGATTTCAGTCATTCTGTGTTTTCACAGTCTCACTTGCCCAGGCTGGCCTTAAACTCAAGGAAATCCCTGCCTCTGCCTCCTTAGCTCCATTAAAAATGTACTCTTTCAAGGGGGCTGCAGAGACGGCTCAGTAGCTAAGAGCACTGGCTGCTCTTCCAGAGGGCCTGGGCTCAATTCCTAGCACCCACATGGTAACTCACAACCATTTGCAACTCTAACACCCTCTTCTGGCCTTTGTCGACACTGAACACATGGTACACAGATATACATGCAGGCAAAACACCCACACACATTTAAAGAGACAAACACTTTCTTAATGAATACTAATCCTTTAGCAACTGCATCTTAGTCCAAGAATTGCCTTTACAAAGAGTTCTCATAGTTATACAATCTCTATTTGACTATATCCCTAGTCACTATTGGACGCCTCACCTAGAGTGACTACAAGGTCACATTTCCGTCCTTTTCCAACTTGTAAGCTTTTGCTAGAGTAGGGAGATTTCTTAGTCACTGCATATTGCCCAGCTAGTGCTCTAGCGCAGGGCTGCACACCTATTGAAGATACAAAGCTAACATACAGTCCAGTTGAGTAGGCAGTCTACTAAAAGCAATTGGGCAATGTGACCCCAATATAAGTTTAGATCACTAGTAGGAAAAGGACCCTCCATGTTTGCAAGTAAGAAAATGACCTACGTTCTAAAGAAAAAGTCATTTTCAAAATACTACGAAGAAAGAAGCTGGTGCTCAAAGGCCATGGGGTAACAACAGGTTAGTTGTTTCTGCCGCAGACACTTCTGGTGGACCCAGGAGGAGCAGTAGTTCAAGGCTAGGCTGGATTACATAAAACCCTGACTTGAAAAAGTAGAACCAGAACGTCTCAATCTTTTCTAACCAATTTGTCCTGTTTTAAGTTTGTCTGCTAATGTTAGGAAAAGAGTCGTGACTGTTCAGATTGCATCAGAGTACTAGGAACAAAAAGTTCAACTCACTTTGGTCACCATTAATGATCAATATAACCAGTGAGAGAAATGTATTGCATATAATCTGTCTACTTGTGTCAATTAGAGTGCGACTCTAACCTCAGAGATACTTTATATTGATACAATTGCTGTGTAAGAAGTTGTGGTATAACTCTCAATTATGTGGCTACACTTCCAGTTCTAGATGTTGAAGAGTACTCAGCATGCCAGCACAACCATTAGCCAGCTTCTGTCTGCTATAGTTCCTTCCCTGCCCGTCCCTCTATCTCCTCTCCATCAGTTCCAGGAAAGAAGAAACTTTCGAAAATGGCAGAACAACAACTTGATTTTGATATTTAATGTAAAACATTTTCAGAGCACGTTAGTTTGGAAGCTGTAAGAACTCATCTTTGTTAACCAAGGTGCAAATATTTTTTAAAAATTAAAAAAAAAATCTGTGTGTAGCTGGACAGTGGTGGTGCATTCCTTTAATCCCAGCACTTGGGAGGCAGAGGCAGGTGAGATTTTGAGGCAGCCAAGGCTACACAGAAAAACCTTGTCTTGAAAAACAGAAAAAAAAAAAAAAATGTGTAGCTAGGTGGTGGTGACGCATACCTTTGATTCCAGCACCCGGAGGCAAAGACAAGCTTATCGGTGAGTTCGAGGCCAGCCTGGTCTACAAAGTGAGTTCTAGGACAACCAAGGCTGTTACAAAAAGAAGCCCCGTCTCAAACAACAAAAAAGAAAAAATTGTGTGTGGGGGGGTATGTGCACATGCATACAGGTGCCAGAGAACCTCTTGGAGCAGGAATCACAGGTAATTGAGAGCCTCCCATTATGGGTGCTGGGAATCAAACTTGGGTCCTCCAGAAGAAGAGCAAGTTTTCTTTTCAGCCCCCAGGGTGTAAATTTTTTTAACTTCCTAAAATATGTTCAAATTTTCAAAATTTCAAAAATTACACCACATATCCTAACATATTCTAGGATGGGCGTTGTGCATGCTAGACAAGTTGTGTCCATCCTTTTAAGAGACAGGGTCTTACTAAATTATCCAGGCTGGCCCTGAACTTGCAACCTTCCTGCCTCAGCCCCTAAGTAGCTAGATTACAGGTGTGAGCCACTAGGCCAGACAGATTAAAAACTTAGCATTTATTGTAAACCTTCACTGTGAAACTGGGGAAAAACCAGGGCATTTGGAGCTTCACTTTTTCATATGAATTAATGGGGAAAGTGACTATATTAGGCACACAGTAAGTAACAAGGAAGGTTATTTTTATCTGTCTTGCAGTTCTGTATTGTAAGACTTATCTAAATCCCTGATGTTTTACCTTAACCACATTTGTCTGTCTGTCTGTATCTATCTATCTATCTATCTATCTATCTATCTATCTTTTTCTTTTGAGTTTTTCACAAGGAGTTTCCTCTCAAGAAAAGTGTATTCTTGGACCATGGAGTTTTCCAAAGCAATTGTTCTCTATGTAAAGGAATAACAAAATGTCTTGCCACGTCTATGAACAACCACCAAGACATGAATACATAATATCCCAGATAGGGGAAAGTACTAGTCTGTTAATTTATTCAGTGCTGAACTTTCAGTCAGCTGACCCAGCATACTCTCAAATTAAAAAGGAACAAAGACACTTAGCAGCATATGTTTGTATAGGGCTTGAGTAGAATGTTAGTATCAGTGAGCCTTCAAGCTATGCTCATGGGCAAAGGTGACTGTATCCCTCCCTAGTTTCAGGACAGAACTACAGGGCTTTGCAGGGTGGTATTAGGAGAAAATGGCTAATTTTAACATTTTCTACTAAAAGTATAACACATCTTAGCAGGGCAGCGGTGGCTCACGCCTTTAATCTCAGCACTCGGGCAGTGGAGGCAGGTGGATCTCTGAGTTCGAGGCCATCCTGGTCTACAGAGTGAGATCCAGGACAGGTACCAAAACTACACAGAGAAACCCTGTCTTGAAAAACCAAGAGTATAAGACATCTTAAGAACTTGTAGACATGTTAAAGATTCGCCTGGACCACTTGTTTTATGGTCCCAGGTAAGCTACTTAAAATGAGTTATTCTGCTTTCTGATAGAGGACGTACTTCCCTTACTGCCTACCCTCAATAATTTGCTCTTCATTTTTGAAACTTGTGTTTTGTTTGTGTCCATGCTGCAATCCTGAGGACATGGTAAGAATTCTTTGACTGCCAGCCTGAGGATGTGAGGTATGTTAGGCTGCAGCTGGGGTCTGCACATTGCATCCCACCCTGACCAGAGGAGCTTTCTTCCTTGAACTGGCAGCTCTATCCTCCTGAGCATGAATCAGGGCTTGTACGAGTTTTTATTCTGCTAAAAACATTTGACACAGCTTTAACAGAACCACCAAACCTGGCTAATCCAAATCACTTTGCAAACTCTCATTTTTATTTGGATTAAAAAGCTTTGATGAACAAACATATGATACATACACGGTATAGAACCAGTTACCACTTAAACTTCAGATAATGATATAGTACAGAAAATAGAATAAACCAATTTTGAATCATGTCTTGGAAATGAACGTTCAAGCTCAAAGTTATAACATCAATTTGGGGATTTTACACAAGTGGCCCTCACCCTCACCCCCACCCCAGTTCAGAAGGGGAAGGCAGATTTAGTAAAACCAAGGTCTTTTAAATCAGTTGGCTGATATTTTAAACCTATAGGTCCCCCAACTCAATATAAACAAAATTCTTCATAGGAACTTATGTTTTGAAAACTATTAGGTCATTATATTTCTCAAGTCAGATTACTAAAGTTCTTAAGTCATGAGAAAGTGTATTGTTTACTTGTACTGCCTTAAGTCAGGGCTTTTTCTTTTTTTGAAGATGGCTGATCTCAAATCTTATATCCTAAGTAATAACTGGTATTCTCCAAAAGCATGATTCTAAAATAAATAGTATCTTAAATGGTTTTAATTAATTAATTAACTAATTGTTTTTTAAACTTCATCAGGGCCTGCCTTAGTGACACCCTGTGCTGGATTTGTATTGCCTAAGGGAACCTGGACTGGCTCTTGGTTCCTACAGCACCAATACACCAATGCAGGAGTCAGGAGGAGGAGTGCTCTGGCTCCTAGTGCCCCTGGTTGCTGATAGTGAAGGGTTTTTAGAAGCTCCTCGGGGAGCCTCAGCTAAGCCTTTAAAAAGGGAAATAAAATGAATGCATGAAATAAATAAATAATTTAACCAAAATTAAGTTTCTGGTTCTTTGGTGTAATTCAAGGATACCTAAAAAGAAAATAATCTGATTACATTACATAGTCCATGATGAGTCAATGGTCCAAATAACCAGGAATCAAAGATTTATTTAATTCAGTTTAGCAATAAGGTACTGGCATAATCTACAGTACATTTTTTAAAAATTAAAATTCTTTAAAATACTTGATGAAAATTGAGATCCAGTGGTTGACTATTGGCATTAAGTTACAAGGGTTCCTGTATTTAAAGTAGATACCGGGGACTTCTTTCCATTATATACTCTCATGATTTATTAAGCATGGCAATTCAACACGAGTACTGATTCATCATATTGTAAAGGAAAAGACTGTCTTGACAGCCATTCTTAGTCAACAGTGGCAGCATCAGCACCACACAACCATCCTATTAGAATAAAGCAGGGTTAAAAAACACACCACCATGTGAATGCTGCCACCTGAACATCCTACACTGCCTCAAAATGGTCATTCTAGGGCCGTGTTAGAAAGACATGGTTGTGGCTGTGGAGTATTACAGCATTTGCCTTTAATCCCAGCACTTGGGAGGAAGGGGCAGGCAGTTGTGAGTTTGGGGCTAGCCTGGTCTACACAGTGAGTTCCAGTCCTGCCAAAGCACATAGTAGGACCATGTCTCAAAAAAAGGAAAGCAAGAAAGACAAGGTCACCACATCCAAGTGTTTGGGATCTGTAATAGTCTTTTTCTGTGAACATTTTCTTAAAAGTACAATTTCCTTTTTCTATAATCCAAAGCACAAGCTGAATTTAAAAACATTTTAGAAAGTATTATT